GGACATTTGCAACTGTGTGTATGGAACTAGAGGGTCTGATGCTATGCGAAATTAGTGAGAGAAAGACAAATATATGACTTCACTTATATGAGGAATTTAAGATATAAAACAGATGAATGTAAAGGAAGGGAAGCAAAAATAATACAAAAACAGACAGGGAGACAAACCATAAGAGACTCTTAAATATAGAGAACAAACAGCGTTGCTGGAGGGGTTGTGGGAGGGAGGATGGGCTAATGGGTAAGGGACATTAAGGAATCTACTGAAATCACTGTTGCGCTGTATGCTAACTTGGATATAAATTAAAAAATAAATTAAAAAATATTTTAAAAATCTAAACAGCATCACTATTTATAATTACTAAAATCTGCATAATAATTCATCAACTGCATATATAATATTTTTACTAATCATTTCCGTAGTTAGATGTTGAGATTGTCTCAAAGTTTTCCATATTATAAATGACACTGTGATGAACATTCACAGTATTTTGGATTATTTCTTTATGACACATTCCTAACAGTGGATGTCAGGCCAAAAGTTATAAAAATTTTTATTTACTATGCCTGATATATATTATAAATCCATGATGAATTCTTCAATATCTTTTGGCTATAGGATATTAGAATCTGCTGCTAAGAAATGGACCTCTCTCATGGTAAACATTTTTTAAGGCAGAGAGAATAGTAAGAAATAGTCAAGAAAGCATACTCTGGACTAGGACTGTCTGAGCTCAAATCCCAGTTCTATCACTTGCTAGATATATATACATAAACAAATTACTGAATCCTTCTGAGACAACATACATACAGCACTGAGTCTGTATGTAGCAAGGGCTCAAAAATGTTAATCATTTTTGTTGCCTTTAGATTACTAAAAAAAAAATGAGTCTATAATTGAAAAAGCCAAGAATTATCCTCAAATAATAGAGTAACAATAAACAAAAAACAAATGACAAAATAATACTCTTGTACCTAGATTATAAATAAGCAGTTCATTTACTGTGAATACTGTTCATACCACTGTGGTTATTACACATAAATAAAAATAAATACGATACTTGGGTTCCTGGGTGGCTCTGTCAGTTAAGTGTTGACTCTGAATCTCAGTTCAGGTCTTGATCTCAGGGTCATGAGTTCAAGCCCCAAGTATGGCTCTGCAATGGGTGTGAAATATACATACATACATACATACATACATACATACATGACATTTTAATGAGTGCTTATTCTCTTTAAAAACTTTACAATACTGTTTAAGACTCACAACAACCTGTATGGTGGTAGTAATAACAATAAAAAACAGCTAATACTTTCCAACTGTTTATTATGTGTCATGCATGGTTCTAGGTAGTAACTTATTAATCATTACAAAACCTATGAAATAGGGCTTTTCATTTTCCTATTACCCTAATTTTAGAGACACTTCAATCAAGGTACACAGAGGTTACAGAGCTAACAGGGTAGATGTCATTATGCCCATTTTGTAGATAAAGAAACTAAGACTTGGGATTATTATTGTAAAGCTAGGTAAGTAGGCCAGGCTTCAAACCATTATCTGTCAAAATAACAGATCACATTCTTTTATTTTACAACTCTGTCATCTTTGAATGGATTCACTTATACAGAGAATGTCCTGCACAAGACAGCAAATGTTTAAGATTGGCTTCCTTCATTCCTGCCTTTTTACCATAAGCAGTGATAAACTAATGGTATCATTTGAACATGTGCCTCTAAGAAGAATATCATTGGGAAGGCAAGCATAACACAAAAGCCCATATAATGAAACGTGTCCCTTAAATGGATTCTTTCACTCTCCTGAGGCATTCTCTGCTGCAGCCTTAGCATACATCCTTGAAAGTTTCTAAAGCCTACCTTTCAGATATTTGGCAATTCCTGAGGTGTTTTTGGCAAAACTTCTACAAAGCATTGTTTGAACAGATGCTAGAGAAGTCTCCTGTTTCCCACTGCCTCAGAAAGTCCTCAAACTTCTTACCAGTGGGAGAAACAAAGTTGCATCAAGCCTCCCAAAACATCTTGAAAAAACTTTCCTTTGCAAAGGGACTGTACACACACAGGAAGAAACCTGAAGTCCTAAACTTGAACGAACTGATTATTTAATCATGGACAAATTATTTCCCTTCTCTGTGCCTCAATTTCCTCTTCCATGATGAGAAGTTAGATTAGCTGGCTTTCCAGAGCTACTAGAGCTGATTCAAGGAAGGAGATGAAAGTGAGCTTGGAGTCTACAGCACTGAAATCCCAGGAGAGCAAGAGTCACATGAAAGCCCAAAGCTCAGAACCAATTAGCAACCATTAACAGTGGGGGAAGTGCCCTAGCATTCGGATTTAAGAATGTGAGTCCTGTGAGAAATTATTTCATGTGGAGTTGAAGGATTCGGTAGAGTGAGAAATGTAGACAGTGGTAAAGGAGTAAATCCTCTTCACCTTTACAGAGCAGAGCAAAGCAGCATCCAAATTCCTTTCCTACTTTTTCCCCCTGTAATAAAGACAGGAGCAAAGATAGGATCCTGCTGCCACCTTGTGGCACACTGGGCAGTTTAGAAAGAAGGTTTTACTTAATCCGGGTCCCCCAGTAAATCCCACTCCGGAAACCACATCCTCCTCCACTTCCCTTATAATTACACAGAGCTTGAAAGCACAGAAACACTTTCAACCCTATTACCTCATTTCATTCTCACAACTACTATGTAGAGCAGCAGGAGAGAAGTTAAAACTCCATTTTACAATGGAAAAAAACGAAGTTCAGACCGACTATGTCACTTGCTGAAAGTCACAGTCAGTAACTGGCATTCAGGATGGGCACCCACATTTCCTGACTAAATCAGGCAATTTGGTGGGGATGAAACAGGTTTAGATATGCTCTAGGATTAGGAATTTTTTTTTTCTTTTAAAATCTGCTTTATTGTTTTTTTTCCTTACAAATACTTTATTGTCAAGTTGGTTTCCATATAACACCCAGTGCTCATCCCCACAAGTGACCCCCTCCATGCCCATCTTCCCCCTCCCCCCCACATCCATCAGTCCTGTTTGTTTCTCAGCATTCAAGAGTCTCTCATGGTTTGCCTCTCTCCCTTTCCCCCACCATTTCCCTCCTTCTTCTCCCCCATGGTCCTCAGTTAAGTTCCTCCTTAGGATTAGGAATTTGAGAGAGGGAGGCTTACAAAGAGGAAAGCTTAATTTCTTCTACAGACAAAACTGGCCAAAGACCATAATGAGATTGCATGTCTACAGAAAAAAGCATCTAAACAAGTCTCAATTCCTCCCTCACTTCCTAGTTTGCACATTCTTGGTTAACATCTCTAGGCCTCGCCAGCTGCTCTGGCTCCCTCAGCTCATCAGCCCAGACTAGCCATGAGGGTTCACAACTTATTTACAGCTAAATGCTGAACACCAAATGGATGCCAGGCAAGGGAGCCACAACATCCAGAAATCGGCAAGAACTATGGGGAGTGCTGTTCTGTTCCTGGGTTACAGTTCATCATATTTGGGACTCAGTCCAAATTTTCTTTTTCTTTTATAGTTTATTGTCAAGTTGGTTTCCATATAACACTCAGTGCTCATCCCCGCAAGTGCCTTCCTCCATGCCCATCACCCCCCGTCCCCTCCCCCTCACCCCCATCAGCCCTCAGTTTGTTCTCAGCATTCAAGAGTCTCTCATGGTTGCCTCCCTCCCTCTCCCCAACTATTTTTCCCCTTCTCCTCCCCCATGGTCCTCTGTTAAGTTCCTCCTAATCCTCCTATACCAAATATGGTATTTGTCCTTCTCTGCCTAACTTATTTCGCTCAGCATAACACCCTCAAGGTCCATCCATGTTGCTACACATGGCCAGATTTCATTGTTTCTCATTGCCATGTAGTATTCCATGGTATAGATAAACCACATCTTCTTGATCCATTCGTCTTTTGATGGACACTTAGGCTCTTTCCATGTTTTAGCTATTGTGGAGAGTGCTGCTATGAACATTGGGGTACATGTGGCCCTATGCATCAGCACTCCTATATCCCTTGGGTAAATTCTTAGCAGTGCTATTGCTGGGTCCTAGGGGAGTTCTATTATTAAGTTTTTGAGGAACTTCCACACTGTTTTCTGGAGGTGTTGCACCAGTTTATATTCCCACAGCAGTGTAGGAGGGTGCCCATTTCTCCACATGCTTGCCAGCATCTAGAGTCTCCTGAAGTGTTCATTTTAGCCACTCTGGCGTGAGGTGGTATCTCAGTGTGGTTTTGATTTGTATTTCCCTGATGAGGAGGGATGCTGAGCATCGTTTCATGCGTCTGTTGGCCATCTGGATGTCCTCGCTGGAGAAGTGTCTGTTCATGTCTTCTGCCCATTTCTTCACTGGGGTGTTTGTTTTTCGGGTGTGGAGTTTGGTGAGTTCCTTATAGATTTTGGATACTAGCCGTTTATCTGATATGTCATTTGCAACTATCTTTTCCAATTCCGTTGGTTGCCTATTAGTTTTATGGATTGTTTCCCTTGCCGTGCAGAAGCTTTTTATCTTGATGAGGTCCCAGTAGTTCATTTTTGCTCTTGATCCCCTTGCCTTTGGGGATGTGTCAAGTAAGAATTTGCTGCGATTGAGGTCAAGGAGTTTTTTTCCTGCTTTCTCTTCTAGGATTTTGATGGTTTCCTGTCTCACATTCAGGTCCTTTATCCATTTTGAGTTTATTTTTGTGTATGGTGTGAGAAAATGATCTAGTTTCATTCTTCTGCATGTTGCTGTCCAGTTCTCCCAGCACCATCTGTTAAAGAGGCTGTCTTTTTTCCATTGAACGCTCTTTCCCGCTTTGTCAAAGATTAGTTGGCCATACATTTGTGGGTCCAAATAGGAGTTCTCTATTCTATTCCATTGGTCTATGTGTCTGTTTTTGTGCCAATACCATACTGTCTTGATGATGACAGCTTTGTAGTAGAGGCTATAGTCTGGGATGGTGATACCTCCCATTTTGGTTTTATTTTTCAGTTTACTTTGGCTATTCGGGGTCTTTTGTGGTTCCATACAAATTTTAGGATCGGCCCAAATTTTCTTACAAGTTTTAGAAGGAAGCCCAGTTGGCCCATAATGATGTCACACTCACTGAAACCTGAGGGGCAATGCTGGGGTTATATGATTTTCAACTGGCATATAGGTATGACCTAAAATTAATCTGACAGTTTCCAATTTCTCCAAGGCAACCATAACTTCTTTGACACAGAACCGCAAAATCCAGTGTCTATGCTTTCCACTACCCACAGGTATCCCTTTAGTTTCACTCATTCATTCATTCATTCATTCATTCACTAAATGAGTAGTGCACATTTCACTAAATGAGAAGGGTACTGTGAGAAGACCTTTGATAAGCACTTTGTTGCCTAGTGGTGCAGAGAAGGAAACAAGTAAAGAACATAATTATAACTAAGTGAAATATAAGTATTAAGCATTGAGAGTTAAGAGAGAAAAATTAGAGGTTTTCTCGCTTGGAGTTAGAAGACTAGGGATAAAAAGTAGATAAAGAACAAATTCATGGATATTTGACACATAAAACCCTTCACAGTCTGGCCTTTACAAACTCTCCCTGCCTTCTCTTCTGCTACACTTTGCTCTCACCCTACTATATTCTTAACACAAGTTTCCTTCAGTACTTTAAGGATTAACAGTTAGGCTTTAGAATCAGACAGATTTTGATTATAATCCCAGGTCTGACACATTAAGAAAACTTGGGCAAGTTATGGCATTTCTTGAAGCCTCAGTTTCCTAATCTGTAAATTGGAGAGCATAGTAAGACTCATTTTCAAAGGTTTTTTGTGAGAGCCCAATGATATAAATGTATGCAAAGCACCTGGCTTTGTGCTGAACACTTAGTAAAGACTTAGTAAATAGCAAATGATATTGTTCATTATCTCTTTGCCTTTGATGTTTCCGTTGTCAGAGATTCCCTTCACCTTCTCAAATGGTTTTATCCCTATTTTTCCTTTAGAGCCATCACAAAAGTCTTTTTTCTTGAGTGCCCCACGTTATGACACCTGTTTCCCAGTGAGTGCTCAAAACCTTGGTTCACATCACCTTAATGTATTCATGGGATACCAATTTGTATTTGTTGTAAGTGTTGTCTTCTAGGTCTGTGAGGTTCCAGAGGGAAGAAGCTAGCTAGGTCTTCCTCATTCTGCCTTGCAGCCAGCACAGTATATGACTCATGGTACCACCAGAGAAATCCTCTTGAATAAAAATTGTATCTGAGCTGAACCTTAAAAAACAAACAAACAAAGAGGAATTAAAGCCTATCTTTGGATGGCCTTTTGAATGTAAATACTAACTTATTAATGTTGTAAATGAAATCATTGAAACCCACTAGAAGTGATTGCCAAGGATTAACCTTTAATATGAAATGACAGGACCAAAGTGGGTCAAAATTTCATTAAGGGAAGCTGGAGGTGGATGCATGGATAAATGAAAGTATTGGAAAGATCATGAATCCCAGGTGGTGGCTCAGAAAATGGGTGCAGGCCTTCCTTGGGTACCTAGGGACAATTTGGGGGTATTCAGTGGAGAAGGGAATCATTTTAAGAGTAAAGTAGACTCTCTTGTCTTCCCTATTAGACAGCTGCATCTTTTGGCAGCGTGCCATTTGCATCCCTGAGACACAATGGTGGAGGTCAGAGTAAACAGACTTGACTGTACTGGCACTTGGTCACCAGGGCCTTTTAACTAAGGCAAAGTGGATACTGTCACCACCAGTGGTCCCTTCACTGACCTCAACTACATGATTTACATGTTCCAGTATAAATCCATCTACAGCAAATTCAATGCAAGTCAAGGCTGAGAACAAGAAACTTGTCATCAATGGAAAGCCCATCTTCATCTTCCAGAAGTGAGATTCCCTCAACATCAAATGGGGTGATGCTGGTGCTGAGTATGTTGTGGAGTCCACGGGGTCTTCACCACCATGAAAAAGGCTAAAGGGTGGGGCCAAGAAGCTCATCATCTCTGCCCCTTCTGCTGATGCCTCCAAGTTTGTGATGGGCATGAACCAGGAGAAGAATGACAACTCCCTCAAGATTGTCAGCAATGCCTCCTGCACCACCAACTGCTTGGCCCCTCTGGCCAAGATCATCCATGACAAGTCTGGCATCATGGAAGGACTCAAGACCATATTTCATGCTATCAATGCTATTCAGAAGACCATGGATGACAGCTCTGGGAGGCTGTGGTGTGATGTCCGAGGGGCTGCCCAGAAAATCATTTCTGCTTCTACTGGTGTTGTCAAGGCTGTTGGCAAGGTCATCCCTGACCTGAACAGGAAGCTCATTAGTATAGTCTTCTGTGTCCCCATTCTCACCATGTCAGTCTTGGATCTGACTTGCCACCTGGGCTAGGCTGCCAAAAAGAAAGTGATGAAGCAAGCATCAGAGGATCCCCTCAAGGGCATTCTGGGCTACACTGAGGACCAGGTTGTCTTCTGCAATTTTAACAATGACACCTACTCTTCCACTGTGACGTTGGGGCTGGCATTGCTCTCACTGACCACTTTGTCAGGCTCATTTCCTGGTATGGCAACAAATATGGCTACAGCAATCAAGTGGTAAACCTAATGGTTCACATGGCTTTCAAGGAATAAGGGTCTCCTGGCCCACGAGCCCCCAGGGGAGCAAGAGGAAGAGAGGGGCCCTAAGCTGCTGGGGAGTCCTTGTCCCAAATCATCCCCCAACACAGTGAGATTCTCCCAACCTCTACAGAGTTTCCATCCCAGACCCCCTGAAGAAGAGGAGGGACCTAGAGAGGCCTACCTTGTCAAATACCATCAATAAAGTATACAGTACCTAGCACCCCACCACCACCAAAAAGTGGATAAGAGAGATTCAAGGATGGAAAAAAGAGGAAGATAAAAGACAAACATCACAAGTTTTCCACTAAGGTCCTATGATGAAGGTAGTGCAACCTATCATGTACAAGGTCATCTAAAAGAAGGGAAAAGACATGATTTCTGGATTAAAAATTACAGGGCATGCAAACAAACAGGATCATACATTCATAACATGGATAAAATTCAATAGAAACAGAATATAGAAATGAGAGCACATAATAGACAAAGATATTAAAAGAGCTATTATAAATATGCTTTACTTGTTAAAGAAGTAGAAGAAAACAGGATTATAACAAGGAGAGAAAATGGAAGAACTCTAAAAGGGTCAGTCTGTAGATAAGAGCTTTCTGCCTGCTCATGAGGAAACCATTCTTTACCTGCTGAGAAGCAACCTTATCTGTCATCACAACAGAGAAAGAGGTCTCCAGATCCTTTTTAATGTGCCATTATTTCTTCAAATATCTTTCTGGTGTCACTGCTCTTCTCCAGTTCCAATTACATGATATTATCCCACAGCATACTGATGTCTAGTCATTGTTTTGCTTTGCTTTGCTTCAGTCTTTTTTCTATGTACTTTGTTTTGGATAGTTTCTACTGTTATGACTTCAAGTGTCTAATCTTTTCTTCTACTGTGTCTAATCTGCTATTAACTCCATCCAACGTACTTACCATCACAAATATTTTTAATTTCCAGATTTGAATCTTTTTTTTGTATCTTCCACTTTCTCTGCTTGTTATACTCATATTTTCTTCTCTCTTTAATAAGTATAGCATATTTATAATAGCTGTTTTAATATCTTTGTCTATTATGTGCTCTCATTTCTTTTTTTGTTTGTTTAAAATAATTTTTTATTGCCCAGGATATTCTTTTCCTTGTGTCTTGGATTTTTTTGTTTGTCTGTTTTTCTTTTTTAATAACTAAATTCAAGCTTAGGGAAGCTTGCCTTTGTCTTGAAAACAAAACAAAACAATAAAGCTATCATATCATTTGCTAACCTGATCTCATTTGAAGAGAAAGACAGTAGTTATATTTATCTTGCAAGAGTAAAATTTATACCACAAACGATGCAGGTCTATGTCTGATGGCACTAAAAGGAGACAACAGCATTGTTGACAAAATTATAATCTGCTGGTGGCATTTGTGGCAAAAAAGCCCTTGCAAATTTCTAAATAACAGTAAACTCTGTTAGAAAATTCTAAAGTGTCTTACAGGCCAAAAAGGGAATGAGGTTAGTAAAATGCCTCAATAGAGTTTGAATAAAATACTGGATTTGAGAGTTACTGGAACTTGGATATGTAAAAATAGGGTGGTAGGTTGGGTCATGCTTACAATGGTCTCAAGTTCAAATAAACTATTGTGACAATACACCACTTCACAGGTCACACGCTTGTCCAGTGGCTTTTCTTTCTTTCAGTATGTGCTGGCGGAAGGTGTGCTCAGTCGCCTTCCAATACAGATGCCTAGCCCCAAAGCCAAAACATGAGAGAGGAAGAGAGATGGAATGAACACTTTAAGAAATTCTGCGGACATGGGGCGCCTGGGTGGCTTAGTCGGTTGAGCGTCCGACTTTCGCTTAGGTCGTGATCTCGCGGTTTGTGGGTTCGAGCCCCGCGTCCGGCTCTGTGCTGACTGCCAGCTCAGAGCCTGGAGCCTATTTCAGAGTCTGTATCTCCTCTCTCTGACCCTCCCCTGCTCACGCTGTCTCTCTCTCTCTCCTAGAAATAAATAAATAAATAAATAAATAAATAAATAAATAGAAAAGAAATTCTGTGGAGAAAATACCTCCTATCTTCATGGCCCCACTTTTCCTCATGCTTAAAGAAATGGAGCATTTGGGGTGTCTGAAGTAAAACTCCTTAGGTGGAATGTTTTCGGGTCTACTGGACCAGTCGGACACCCAGTCTACACTTTTCTTCAAAACATCAACTTCTTTCTCTCCTTCTGCAACCTCTTCTTCTGACTGAGAGCTGTGGTCCCTGCTTGTGTGCATCTCCACATCGAACATAATCTGCCCGTCTTCTTGTGGGGAAGGGCTGTCACAGTAAGAGCTGGCTCTTGAACTACTCTGCCCTGATTCATGTTGTGTGTCCAGAAGAATCTTTTCCATGTCTCCATTGTGGATAGAGGATGAGGAAGGTACATGTTCTAGCCCCCCATTTTTCCCATTGCCATTATCATTGCCATTGCTGCTGTTCTTGGGGAACTCCACCCAGGAACTGTTGAGGCCGGCTGTCAGGGCCAAAGGCTGTTCACCCTCCTCTCAGTTGTTGTCGTTGTTGTGAGGGGGCAGCGGCTGCTCTACTAAATGAGACGACATTGTCGGGCGGCTGGAAGACCTGCGGCCACAGCAGGACCGTCTCTGGTTCTCGGGCAGCAACACCTATGTGGTCTCATTTCTATACTCTGTTTCTATTAATTCAATTTTATTCATGTTATGAATGTATGATCCTGTTTCTTTGCATGTCCTGTAATTTTTCATAAGAATCCAGAAATTATGTCATTTCCCTTCCTTTTAGAGATCCAGTCATGTGATACCTGTTGTCCAATGCCTAAAATACTATTCTATATATCTTTCTGGGTTCTTTTTTAGTTGTTTAAGGTCCTGATACTCTACCAAAATTGGAAATGGAAGGCCTTGCAATCCTAAATAAATTAGTTCATTAAGCATCAATGATTGCTAACATGACAATGAAAGAGATAATAAGAAAGTATGAGTCTCCTGATGACACATCATCATCTATGATGTAGTCTTGCAAAAAAAGTATACATCAAATTTGAATCTGATCAAGACTCTAGATAGGAAATACAGAAGACAGAGGAATATCTTAAACTACACCACAGAGATACAATCAATAAAATCAAAATTGCAGAAAACTCTGTAGGACAGAGTTTTTCAACAGTTTAAATTACAAGAAAAATTAAAAGGTGGAAAGCAAGCTATAGATGAAAAGAGACTTAAGATATAGCAATGTATTGGGCACCTGGGTGGCTCAGTTGTTAAGCATTTGACGTCAGCTCAGGTCATGATCTCATAGTTCATGAGTTCAAGTCCCATATCCAGTAAGCTCATGCTCTGCTTAAGGTGAGCATGAGCCCCACTTCAGGTAAAACACGAGCCCCACTTTGGGTGAGACCTGCTTCTCTCTCTTTTTCTTTCCCTCTGCCCCTCCTGGGATTCTCTCTCTGCCTCTCGCTCACTTGCACCCTCTGTCTCTCCAAAAAATGGACGTATATGTATGTGTGTGCGTGCGTGTGTGTGTGTGTGTGTGTGTGTGTGTGTGTGTGATTAGAGACAGAGAGACAGAGACAGAGATGGATATATAGATGTATATCAATGTATTAGATGTGTGGACCTTACTTGGATCCTTATTCAAGCAAATAAACAAGTGAGAAAAAATAAGGAGACTTAGGAAACAATTGAAAATTTACATTCAAACTAGACAAGCTAGTTGATGGTATTAAAAGTCACTATTAATTTTAGGTGCAGTAATGGTATTAGGATTGCTTTTTAAAATCATCTTTTAAAGGAACATTCTGGCATATTTATAGGTGAAATAATATGTTTAATATTTGCTTCACATTAATATAATAGGGAACAAGTGGGTGTAGATAAAATAAGACTGGCCACAAATAGATAATCATAGAAGCTAAGTGATACATAGGTTTGAAGTTTTATGTTATAAAATAATTTAAAAATTATTCAAGAGTTGTAAAATTGAGATATGGATTCTAAATTTGGCTCTGACATCATTCTGCTCTGTACCTATCAACTAGTCACTCCTATCTAGGCTTCAGCTCTCTCTATAAAATATGAAATATAAAATTCATCCCAATATACTTTCCGTTATATCCACTTATGAGCTATGTGATGCGAGAAAGTTACTTAATCTTTTAAGCCTCAGTTTCCTTATCTGTAAAAAGTGATGAATGTAATAGGAAATTTTTAGGACTACTATGTGGGTTAAATTAGGTAATATATGTTAAAACTCTTATCATAGTGCCTAGCTCAAAGTAATTATCATCTATCATTATTATTATTATATCTTGATACATCTAATACACACTAATAGTTGAATTCTACACATATTTTTAAATCAAAGTACTCTACAGCTTATTTCCTTACCCCTTCCCTCTTCATATCCTTCCTGAAACTTCCCCTCTAAAATTCTGTGGAACAATATGCCCAACAGCACAAGCCAGGAGAGAAAGAGCTTGGCTCTCCTTCCCAGGGACAGTCATTGCTGTGGCTCTGGAAAAACGGAGGTGCCACTTTCATCATTGTCAGAATATAGTATGCAGCTGCTCTTCTGGTATGCCACACATCCTGAGGTTGCTCCCAAGGGCTAAAAACAGAGCTCAAGCCATCAGCCCAGCTCAGCCAAGATCATTCTTTTTCAAGGTGGCCCCATTTCAAATAAAATGGGCACTTTATATGTATCCCTTGTCTAACTAATCGTTGGTCTTCCCTCCCAGTCTGTGGCCTACTTGAGGACAAAGGCTGTGTCTAGTTTATCTTTAGAGCTTATGCTCCTAGCAAAGCATCTGGGATAGAGTGGGTACTTAATACTTGCTGCATGAAGAAATTGTCTATCATTTTGTTTTATTCAAAGTAGTGCAGAAATGAGAAAGAAACATTGATAGACATGCAGAAAGCCAATGTTGGATGAATCTTTCTAAGTTTTTATCAGGGAGTTTACAACTTGTTTACAACTTCCAATTCATTTCTATTCCCATTAATGACTTAAAATACATCCTAAATATTCTTCCCTGTGTTCAAACTATTCCCTCTACCTATTAATAACCCTCTCCCAACTATCTCACCTTCACACTTAATATATACATCCTTCAACACTTGGGTTTCAGTATCCTCTCTTCCCTGAAGCTTTTTCTTTTTTCATGTTTTATTTTTGAGAGAGAGAGAGAGAGAGAGAGAGAGAGAGAGAGAACATGCTCATGAGTGGGGGAGGGGCAGAGAGAGAGGGAGAGAGAATCCCAAGTAGGCTTAGCGCTATCAGCACAGAGCGTAATGCGGGGTTGGATCTCATGAACCATGAGATCATATTCTGAGTCAAAATCAAGAGTCAAATGCTCAACTGACTGAGCCACACAGGCGCCCCTTAAAGGGGCATCTTCTTAATTTCCATTAACACTTTAGATTTAGCTCTTACTCATAATATTCTATCACATGATGCTGTTGGTTGTAGATGTTTCATAACTTTTACAAGACTGAGGTCAAGGGTCATCTTTAAAAATCTGTGGCATCCAGGCCAGTGCTTTGAACACATCAGGCATTTAATGAGTGTTTAGTGCACTTACTGGCTAAATTTGCAGAATGAAAAGTATCATTAGTCAACCAAATTTAAAAAATAAAATAAGCGAGCCTTTAAAACTGTGGTTTAACTGTAAGAATTTTTCCTCAAAAATTTAACACATTGTTTTTGAAGTTCTGCTACCCTACTATTAACCGTTTTATTTGACAATATCCTCCACTCCTAGAAACCTAAGGAAAAACTGTAATGAGACATATAGACTTTTTAATAAAGCAAATTAAAGATAAAATCTTACAATATTAAAAAAATAATAATTTAACATTTCCTTCAAATTTCAAGGTAAGACAGACTAGGATATTAAAAAATAATGAGGCACGTGGGTAGCCCAGTCAGTTAGACAACCAACTCTTGAGATCACCTCAGGTTATGATCTCATGGTTTGTGAGTATGAGCCTCGCTTTGACTTCTATGTTGACACCACAGAGCCTGCTTATAATCCTCTCTCTCCCTCTCTCTGCCAATCCCCAGCTTGCACATGTTCCCATTCTCTTTCTCTCTCAAAATAAATAAATAAATAATTTAAAAACTTTTTATAAGTAATAATTAAGAATCACTAGACAACTGTATAATCTTAGCCAAGCCCTTGATTTTTCCAAATATCCCCAAGCTACTTCTCACCAGATTTACAGGGCACAAAGTGTTGAGAAAGTATAAAATATTAAATAACTTCAGGCTACTATACTTACCAAAGATAAGGACCAGGATAGAAGTAAATTTCATTTCTTAAAATTAAAGGTGAGCCTGACACTTCCTTGTTAATTGGATAATTGTTTTATTTTCTCTCCTAGATGATACACTCTAGCACTGCCATCATATATTTACCACTTTCTGGCCCTTTCTTCTTCTTCATTCCTTCTAGATTAAAGATTAAAATATATAAACCAATGACATCTCCCACCATCCACTATCCATCCCCAGCAAACAAGTTCAATGTGGCCTTATCTATGCTATTTCTTAAAGTTATATTTTATTTCTTAGATCATCTAGTCCAACCTTTCCATTTTACACATAAGGAGCTCAAAGTCTAGACAAAGTATATTATTTATTCAAGGTCACCCAGCTAATGTCACACCCCATAACACAATCTCCTTTTCTTAGATAGTTGCAAATGACATATCAGATAAAAGACTAGTTTCCAAAATATATAAAGAACTCACCAAACTCCACACCTGAAAAACTAATAATCCAGTGAAGAAATGGGCAGATGACATGAACAGACACTTCTCCAACAAGGACATCCAGATAGCCAACAGACACATGAAACGATGCTCAGCATCCCTCCTCATCAGGGAAATACAAATCAAAACCACACTGAGATACTACCTCACGCCAGTCAGAGTGGCTAAAATGAACAAATCAGAAGACTCTAGATGCTGGCGAGGATGTGGAGAAATGGGCATCCTCCTATACTGTTGGTGGGAATGTAAACTGGTATAGCCCCTCTGGAAAAGAGTATGGAGGTTCCTCAAAAAATTAACAATAGAACTCCCCAATGACCCAGAAATAGCACTGCTAGGAATTTACCCAAGGGATAGAGGAGTGCTGATGCATAGGGGCACATGTACCCCAATGTTCACAGCAGCACTCTCAACAATAGCCAAAACACAGAAAGAACCTAAGTGTCCATCAACTAATAAATGGACCAAGAAGATGTGGTTCATCTATACAATGGAATACTACATGGCAATGAGAAAGAATGAAATCTGGCCGTGTGTAGCAACATGGATGGACCTTGAGGGTGTTATGCTGAACGAAATAAGCCAGGCAGAGAAGGACAGATACCATATGTTTCCATGTATAGGAGGATTAGGAGGAACTTAATGGAGGACCATGGGGGAGGAGAAGGGGAAAAATAGTTGGGGAGAGGGAGGGAGGCAAACCATGAGAGACTCTTGAATGCTGAGAACAAACTGAGGGCTGATATGGATTGGGGAGAGGGGAAGGGGGGTGATGGGCATGGAGGAGGGCACTTGTTGGGATGAGCACCTGGTGTTATATGGAAACCAACTTGACAATAAACTATTT